TATATATTTGACGTATTTTTAGGGGGGGGGGGGGAATATTGAAAAACCAGGCCGCAGGGGCCGAAATGCCCGCGGCCTAGGCCACGGGTGTCACATAGGCGGACGGCAGCCAGAGCCGCCAAGGCCGCGGGTATCACATGGGTGGTTGCTTGTGCGGCGGTGATGGGGTGGCTGTCGGGAGTTGTTGCTTGGGTTGGCGGGTTGGTAGACAGACTCAATCAACGAGTCGCTCACAACCATGTATGGCTGACAAACTGACTGACAACGGGTCGCTCACAACCAGGTATGGCTGACAAACTGACTGACATAGTCTCTGCCTGACAGACTGAGTGACTGGCAAACTGACTAATGCATTGGACAAGTGACTGATTGAGAGTTAGACTGACCAACTGAATGACTGATTGACTGACAAACGGACAGCCTGACTCAGATCCATTGCAGCGTTAGACTAACCGACTTATTAACTGCCTGAAATCCTGCACGACTAACCGACTTACATAGTGACTGGGTGACGGTTTGAGTGACCGATTAATTGATTGACCAACTGTTTGAGTCACTTGCTTCATTGATTGACTGTTTCAGTGATTGTTTCGTTGATTGATTAATTGATTGATTGATCGAGTGAAACATTGATTGTTTGCATGATCGCATTGATTAATTTATTGATTGATCGAGTGAAACATGGATTGTTTGCATGATCGCATTGATTAATTTATTGATTGATTCGATAACGGTTTGGTGGGTTGATTGTCCCGACGTGATTGATTGATTGGTTGATTGATTGATTGATGGCATAGATTGAGTGTCCAACAGTTTGAATGGTTGATTCACTGAAAGCCTGCACGACTAACCAATTGATATTTGCATGATCACGTTGATTGTCGAACTCAATCAATCAATGAGTGACGACTTGAGTGACCGATTAACTGATAGACCAACTGTTTGAGTCACTTGCTTCATTGATTAACTGTTTCATTGATTGCTTGATAATTGATTGATTGATTGAGTGGTTCATGGATTGTTTGCATGATCACATTGATTGATTGATTGATTAATTGATTGATTCGATATGGGTTTGGTGGGTTGATTGTCCTCACGTGATTGATTGATTAGTTGATCGATTGATTGACGACATAGATTGAGTGCCCAACTGTTTGAATGGTTAATTGATTGCTTGATTGCTTGCTTGATTGATTGATTGATTGATTGATTGATTGATTGATTGATTCACTGTTTGAATGGTTGATTGATTGATTGAATGGTACATTGACTAATTGATTGACCAATTGATTGATCGATTGACTGATTGAGTGATTGATTCCTGCAATGATTCACTTCGGACTAACTCTAGAATCATTGACTCCGAGAGAGAGAGAGAGAGAGAGAGAGAGAGAGAGAGAGAGAGAGAGAGAGAGAGAGAGAGAGAGAGAGTCCGCCATAACGGACGGCGGCCAGAGCCACCAAGGTCAGAGAGAGAGAGAGGGAGGGGGAGAGATAGATAGAGAGAG